CCTGTGCTCCAGAGTGAGGAGGTGTGTCACCACATGAGTTGGTGAGAAAGTCATCATCTCCAATGGTTTTAAATATTTGATTTTAGTAACAGAGGCCTTAAATATTTCTAGTGGAACCCCAAGAAAGAGAAAAATTAAAAACTAAGAACTGACCTGCTATGGTTAAATGGGGGGTTCAGTTCCTCCTTAGTCTCCCTCCTTTCTACCCTCTGGAACAACGACCATTCCCCACCTAGACCCACCCTGGCTCCCTGGGATACCCCTCCATAGAAAGCAATTTGAAAAACACTGATCTGATCAACCTTTCGTGGAGTGCCTTGCCAGACTGCTTTCTGGGACAGCCAGATCTTCACAAAGTCATCTTTCCTGTTTCTGGAAACTTTGATCCTCAGAAGGTTCTTCCTTTTATTGACTGAGAGTTGCTCCCTGAAGTTCCACCCACTGTGCCTAGTTTCGCCGCCCCCCCAAAAGTACTGTTACATTGTTCTACATGAAAAGTCTTTACATAAATATTCATTAAGAGCAATCTTCTCTTTTCCAGGCAAAAACCTCTTCACGTCTTCCAATAGATTCTCGTGTGACATGGTCACTCTCTGCTGGACACACTCGTTTGTCAATGTCCCTTTTAAAGTTAGGTTCCTGAAAGAGACCCTGGCTCCAGACAGGTTCTGGCCAAGGCAGCGTACAATGGGCCATTCCTTCTCTTGATCTGGACATTAAATGCTCAATTAGTGCAGCGCAGAATTACATTAGCTTCCTTGGCAGCCACTCTGCAGTCTGTTTATAGTGAATTTACTGTCCATTAAACCCTCTGTTTCACATTAATTGCTATGAAGTGACTCCTTTTTAAAAAAAAATACTTTATTGATTTTTTACAGAGAGGAAGGGAGAGGGATAGAGAGTTAGAAACATCAATGAGAGAGAAACATTGATCAGCTGCCTCCTGCAGACTCACTACTGGGGATGTGCCTGCAACCAAGGTACATTCCCTTGACCGGAATTGAACCTGGGACCCTTGAGTCCGCAGCTGACGCTCTATCCACTGAGCCAAACCGGTTAGGGCATGACTCCTTTTTTAAAAAATGGATTTAAGAGAGGAAGGGAGTGAGAGAGGAAGGGAGGGAGGGAGGGAGGGAGAGAGAGAGAGAGAGAGAGAGAGAGAGAGAGAGAGAGAAATGGATTTGGTGTACATGTATTCATGCATTCATTGGTTAATGCTTGTATGTGCCCTGGGATCAAACTACAACCTTGGTATATTGAGAGGATGCTCTAACTCTAACTGAACTACCTGACCAGGGCCATTATGAAGTGAATTCTTTTCTATCCTGTGCTCCTGCAGTTGACACTTCTTAATGTAAGTGTTGGACTTTACTTTTATCTTCTTTATATTTCATCCTGTCGGTTTTAGTCCAGTCACTCAAAATATTATAAATTGTCTAACCACTATGCTGTACGCCTGAAATTAACACAAAATAATATTGAATGTAAACTGTAATTGAAAAATAAAAAATTTAAAATATATCATAAGATCTTTAGCTGTTCTTCAATGGGGTATAAATTCAATAGTGACTTTGAATTTTAGTGTTACTTCTGTACATCTAAAAGACTGATAACATATATCAGGTGTCTTAGTTACATGATCTTGGAATTTGCATTTGTGGCTTTGTCAGGCTGATAGAATGTTTTTCTTGTCTTCCTTTTTAGATTCTACAGGAGGGAATGATGCTGAAGTGAAGGATTTACCCCGTATCACTCCACTTAAATTTATCTGCACAGCATGTATGATCATATAATATTTTCCTTATTTACTTATTTCTCCACACTGAAATGTGAGCTCCATGAAAGCGGGATCCTGTCTTGTTCTCTGTATTCCTATTACCTAGAATAGTGCTTGGCACAAAGTAAGTGCTTGAAATGAATGAATCTAAGTATGACACAAAAGACCTACCATTTTTAAAAGATTATTTTTAAAAAATGTCAAGGCTGAGCCAGGTTTACCCCAGCACTCACCTGGATGTGGATGCAGGCACATTGTTTAAATTTTAAGAAAATATTACTAACATCCTTTTAGTGCTGAGCCAGAGCTACCTTTTGATAAATTAAAAATACAAATACTGCCCTCTGATGGTAGTGTTTTTTTTTTCCTTTTTAATTTAATTTTAGTAGCAATAGTTGTACATCCTCATTCCCTTAAGATCATACTATGGCTGCAGGTAATGGAGTAGGCTGGGAGGGACTTTAAGATGCACAATGCATTTGCATCTGCATATTCCAGACAATGTTCCTAGCTACTACCCTTAGCCCCAACCCTCCCAACTAGTTTGCTTCCCCAGCCCTCTTATTCTGGAGTCCTCGTGGTTAACTTGGCAGTGCCAGGGTGGACCTTCCCAAAGGCTTATCAGAAGATAGTGACACAGCTTGCTTGCTTGGGCCAGCTGTGACCCAAACGGGGAGAGTGGCCCCTCATATGGCAATTGTCCTTTATTTGTCTAACTTCTCAACTTGGCCTCTTTCTCTTTTGCCTCAAGCTTTCCGTTCTTTCTGGCTTCCTGTTCCCAACTCCTCTCCTAGGTGAAAATGTCAAAGGTTAAAAGTTTAAAATATGCCAGCCCATTATATCAAAAGCATGCCCCCAAATCTAAAAAATATATTAATTATTTTATCAGGGCTATCAGGTATCAAAGTTTAATTCTCAAAATTTAAAAAACATAATTTTCATACCAATGTAAAATGAATACATATCTAAGACTTATTAACTCATCAATGAAGTATCAATAAAATGATGAACACTGGTTCAAAAAGTAGTTAATGTCTGCCCTAGCTGGTTTGGCTTGGTGGATAGAGCGTCGGCCTGCAGACTGACAGGTCCCGGGTTCCATTCTGGTCAAGGGCACATGCCAGGGTTGCGGTCTTGGTCCCCAGTGGGGCGTGCAGGAGGCAGCCAATCAATGATTCTCTCTCATCATTGATGTTTCTATCTCTCTCTCCTTCCTTCCTCTCTGAAATCAATAAAAATATATTTTTAAAAAGTGGTTAATGTCTTATAGGCAAATAAACCTACAGGTTATCTTCTCTACTGACAACAATTTTCAAATTAACATGGAACTAAATACACAGTGTCTGGGCTCCAATCAAACAGTAAACAACAAAGTCAAACACAAATACACTGTCCTAGAAAATTAAATAATCCTTGTGAAAATTTTTAAATAATGCTGCAATATAATGTTGAAAAGACATGTGGCCCTCATCTTTTCCCTTATTTGTAAGTTTTAGATAATTTTCCTTAACACAAGTTTATATATCTATATAAAAACTATATAGATATATGTTTTACATAAAATTTATGTATATTTGTCCTGTCAGTCTTTACCTGTTTTGGAGTGTGTTAGTACTTCGCAAGTGGTTAACAGTGGATGTGAGAGAGCAAAAACATAAATCTTATTTTGTTACTAGTTGATAACTCTAATTTCAGGATGAGAGTGTTGGTGTAGAGTGGAGGGGAAAGAGATAAAGTGAAGGAAGAGATGAAAAGACTTGGATAAAATAAACTTTGAGGGTTACATTAAGATTTTAATTATCCATTCTATTTCTATGATTATCACACATAATGGATACCTCTACGTTTCTTGTCAGTAGAGAATGCATCTCACCAAATATGTGAAAATTATGTAGTAGCCAGTGTAATAACAGGAAAGAGGGACAATGACATCAATGAATATTTAACAGTAGTGATGACAGATGCCTGGCTCTGGCTAAACTTTTCTTATAAGTGTTGAGGCAGGTGGTAGTTTTGCTCTCCTAAGTACATAAGGCTACTATCAAGAAGGTCAAGGTCAAGAAGGCAACCCTAATAGAATTTGTTAACCCAATAGTTCCTACCAGAAACTGAAAGTTCCTACATCAGGATGGTCATATTGAGGTTGGGAATAAGGAGCAGTCATTCAATTTAAAGACTATCCTGTCCGTCTTCAACATGTACTACCAATTTTGTTAGTTGTTTTGCTTTGTTTTTGTTTTTCTTCTTTTGGTGGAACATATAAGAACTTTTTTCTGCCCTAGCTGGTTTTCTCAGTGGTTAGAGCACTGGCCTGGGGACCGAAGGGTCTTGGGTTCAATTCCAGTCAAGGGCATGTACTTTGGTTTCGATTGCAGGAGGCAACCAATCAATGTGTCTCTCTCATATTAAGGTTTCTCTCCCACATCAATGTTTCTTTCCCTGTCTGAAGTGGGAGCGGGAGGGAGAAATATTGATGTGAGAAACATTGATCAGTGTCTCCTGTAAGCACCCCAATTGGGATGCAACTGACAACCTAGGCATACACCTTGATGGGGAATCGAGCCGCACCACCAGGGCTAAAGATCTATTAATTTCATCCCTCTATATTTCCTTCTTCAAATTATTGATGCCGTTGCCCAAAACCATAGTAAGCATTTTATACCTACCCAAATTACTTTAGGATCTGGCTGATTTTCTTCTCTTTGCCCCCATCAATGTTCCCAGGATCTTTCAATATCTGAGCTATTGCTCCTCCAGGCTCCTTAATCTCGACTCCTAACTTCTTGGTTTTATGGATTGTCTTCTCCATCAGTCTTGGTCTGGAAAGTTCAGATGCTTGATGTTATCACCACCAGGACTTGCTAAACTTCTGAGATCTCTTTAACTCAGCATTTCCCTTCTCTGACCCAATTGCTTTACTTGCTCACCAGTCACAACTTGTCAGACCTGCCTTTTGGCGCCACCCCTTCTAGTGCTTTTCATTGCTCAGCCCCTAGATCTTCTCCAGCCTCACTAATCAGGTGGCTCCACCTTGTTCATTAAGAAAACTGAAATCATAAACCTGGTCCTGCCCCTGGCATAACTGGTCTGTCAGTCTTCTCTCTTGTTCTTCCCTCTCCTTTAAAGCTGTCCCTTTTGAAATGTCCTGGGGAAGCTTCCATAGAGTAAATACTCTAACAGTGTTTACTGAATAAATGAATGAATGAATGAATGACCAAATCTCTTCAGAGGAAAACAGTAATATATTAAAATTTAGAATGCACATACCCAGCAAGTCCCCTCTATACATTATTTATAGTCATGCACATGCGTAAAATAGAGAATGTACAAGGTTATTTGCTGTGGCATTGTTTGTATAGTGAAAGGGGAACGCAACCTAAGGTCAACTTTTGAAATATTTCATCTATATCTATGCAACAGAATACTATGTAGATATGAAAGAATCTCCAATTCTGAAAATTCTTTTGCTACCTATGGCAAATATACATGAGTCATGACCATCTTGTCCCTGGTGATATCACCATAAGAATAATCCCTTTAATGAGGCTTTTAATGGTAAAGAGTTGAAATGGACAGGTAGAAAGAATGAATAATTTTTACAGTTTTATTTAATGAGTATTAAGTTCCTTGCAGAAAACACAGGATTTCTACCAATTAAATAATAAGAAAGATTATCTGTATACATATAACCTTGCCAACAAAAATTTCCTCTTTGTAGATCCAAATTCATGAATAGGCCTAAACTGGCAGTACCTATTGTTCATTTATTATGGGTAGAGTCCCCATTTTACAAACAAACCTCTTTTTTATGGAAAAAGGTTCAGGGTTTCAGAATGTCTTTGGTGTATATTTCCTGATATCTGAGGGGCAGAATTCTCCTGTTGTCCCTCAAATGACATGAACTGTAGCTGCAGCACATTGTGCAGGGGCACTCTACTCTAGAATTAAATACTTATAAAACAGAGTTAAATATAAGTAAAGACATAATCATACAGGATAATTCCCTAGTAACTGTATATGCCCTCCAATCTTATCAAACTATAATTTGCTTACTGTGCCTCAATGAAAAAAATTTTTTTTAATCTTCACCCAAGGATATGTTTAGAGAGAGGAGAGGAGAGAAAATTGATGTGAGAGAGACTCTAACATCAATCGGTTGCCTCCTGTATGTGCCCCAATCGGGGATCAAACCAGCAACCTTAGTATGTGCCCTGACCAGGAATCAAACCCGAAGCCTTTTTTTGTGTATGGGTCAATGCACCTACATGTCCTGTTTTTGAAAAGTAACACGGTCAATCCAAATATGACCTGATGTGTACATTTAGTGTTCTTCACAGATTTTTCTAGGACTACTCTACATTCTGTGTATGAACATGGAGTTTCTGCTAGCCCAATACATTTTTGTTTTTGATATCAGAACTCGTCAGCTGACTCTGTGTCCCAGCCACAGGACAGCAGTTGTTCATCCTGTGGGAACTCTACTTCTATGTCATAAACAAAATTTGGATCATCCTTCTTCTTCTGATTTTTCTCAAAAAGTTCATCCATGATGCTCTTCCTTTTGGCAAGCTCCTTGTCATCTAGCTTGTTCAGGTCTTCCTCAGGATCGATGGTTGTTTCCCGTTGAATCTGTTCCATTGTTTCTGCCAAACTCTGCCCCCGCAAGTTACCTCGTAAAAAACAGAATAATTTCTCAAGCTGTCTCAGGGACACTTGTTCCAGGTAACTCTTGTGTCGTGGATTATTCTTTAATTGTTCAGCAGCTCTGTTGCAATCTAGGAAGGAAGAAACAAAACTATACACCACACAAAACCTATACACCACAAGCTATTGGTGCACCACAAACTACTGACAGCATTATCTGCCATTATAGCCAAATAGCTAAGTGGTTTGTTTGGAACAAATCATTCTGCAGAACTATTTCTTTATATCGAGCTTTGAGGTGGTAGAAGAAGAGGGATTTTTTTTTTAATTTTCTTAACTTAAAATCATTTTGAGAAGATGTTAAACCCTTTCAACTGGAGAAAATGTCGAGAAGAAAAAGTAGTATTACAGCTTTAGATATTAGTACTGGTACTAAGAAAATGTGGAGACTATAAGTAAAAATCACATTTGGAGGGAGAGAAGGAAATTAATATTATTGAATAATGCTATCACAGTTAACCTACACAGCAATTCTGAAAGGGCGGGGATTATCAATTTCCTTTTACAGATGAGAAAACTGAAGCTCACTGAGAGGAAGTCATTTAGCCAGGGTCACATATCTACCCTGAGAGACATGATTTGAACCCAGGTCTGTTTAACTCTGAATGCCCTGTCAGACCATTACATAAAACTCAAATCGCTCTTATTCAGTGATTTAGGGAGTATTTAAGATGGGAGGTGAGATAAAACATGAGGCACCTGAGCTTGGCCGGTGTGGCTCAGTGGTTGACCTTCGACCCAGGAACCAAGAGGTCGCTGGCTTGATTCCGTCAGGGCACATGCCTGGGTTGTGGGCTCGGTCCCCAGTGTAGGGTGTGCAGGAGGCAACCGATCAATGATTCTCTCTCATCATTGATGTTTCTATCTCTCTCTCCTTCTCCCTTCCTCTCTGAAATCAATAAAAGTATATTTTAAATAAGTAGATAAGTCAATAAAACATGAGTTACCTGAAAACTTTGAAAAGTTTCGGACAGGCATGATGCGCTGGCGACTTTTCCCTTTCATTTCATTCTCATAGATTAGGATAATAGCTGGAGGCTGAAGCCTAATTCCACATTTCTTGGCAGTGCACGTCATTCTCATATACACTTCAGGGTAAATGAGAGGAAATCTGAAAATGTGTTAGTCACATAATGACTTCCTGCAAAAGAGGGGAAAAAATTAAGTGTTGGATTAATCACACTCTTCCCTCTCTCTCCTCCCCAGCAGATATGGCTCTAGTCCAGATTTAGATCAGTTCTATAGATACATATTCAGCCTATCAATCTCAATATTTTGAGCGTTACCCTGAAAGTTTAGTTTGGCCCTGGGTTAGCCTTAGTCTGTTGGATCCCTGATTCATTGAGGGGTATAGGTATGTTCACACATGAGCTTGGAATGCAGTTCAGTTTGGCTCTCTTACTGTACTGTACTTTTAATCAAAGATTATATATGAACCCATGAGTCAGCCCAAAAACTGACTTATAGGATCTTTTTTATTTAACAATTAAACAAGTATATACAAGGCACTAAGTCTATGTCAAGGTACTAAGAGTTTTTTTTTAATCTTAATCATTATGTTTTGAGAGGTTCAACAGACCAGATCTGTTTCCCTTGTACTTTCCTAGTCATTTTACTCATTGAGGTTTTTTTTGTAATTACTTATTTAATCATTTATCTTCCCTTCTCTTCCATATGCTCCATGAGGACAGGGAACATTTCCACTGATTACCACAATATCCCAGCACAATACCTGTACATACTTGTTTAATTCAATGTATTAAAATAAGCCCCTGTACATCCTGAAAGTTTTTACAGTCCAGAAGTCTGACCAAAAAGGCAAAGCCACCTAGCCAGTGTGGCTCAGTGGTTGAATGTCGGCCCATGAACCAGGAGGTCATAGTTCAATTCCAGGTCAGGGTACATGGCTGGGTTTCGGCCTTGATCCCCAGTAGAGGGCATGCAGGCGGCAGTTGATGGATGATTCTCATCATTGTTGATTCTCTCTCTCTCATCCTCTGAAATCAATAAAAACATATTTTTTAAAAAGGCAGAGCCACCCTAGCAGGTTTGGCTCAGTGGATAAAGCATAGGCCTGATGACTGAAGGGTCCAGGGTTCAATTCTGGTCAAGAGCACGTACCTCTCGGGGCGCGTACAAGAGGCAACCAATTGATGTGTTTCTCTCATATAGATATTGCTCTCTGTCTTTCCCTCTCTCTAAAAAAACAATGGAAATCCCTAGCCGGTTTGGCTCAGTGGATAGAGTGTCGGCCTGCGGACTGAAGGGTCCCAGGTTCAATTCCGGCCAAGGGCACATACCTAGGTTGCAGGCTCGATCCCCAGTGTGGGGCGTTCAGGAGGCAGCCAATCAATGATTCTCTCTCATCATTAATGTTTCTATCTCTCTCTCCCTTCCTCTCTGAACTATATATATATATATATATATATATATATATATATATATAATCTCAATGGAAAAATATCCTCAGGTGAGGATTTAAAAAACAAAAAAGTCAGAGCCAATGCAGAATCAGCCTATACATATACAAGGCAATAAAGTTTATATGACTTTTAGTTAAACTTATTTGTCTCATTACATTTTTTTTTTTCAGTTACAAGAAACGCAGCTATTTTTTAGGTTAATACTTTCTATTCCCTCTTCCTTCCCCTGTCCCCAATGCCAAAGTACACTTAATTATAGGGACTGCTTTAGATGTGACTATATTATTCCCAGGAAATTTTGAAAATATCAAGGAATCTAGAAGTAAATCAGCATAGAGTAATGATATCTTTTTCTTTTTTAAAGATATTTTTATTGATTTCAGAGTGGAACGAAGAGGGAGAGATAGAAACATTAATGATGAGAGAAAAATCATTGATTGGCTGCTTCCTGCATGCCCCCCCCCCCCTCCCCAGGGGATGGAGCCCACAACCCCGGCATGTGCCCTGACAGGGAATCAATGATGATCTGGTTTATAGGTCAATGCTCAACCACTGAACCACTCAGTTGGACAAGTAATGATAGCTTCATAAACTCAGTTCTGTCAGCAAATCACTACAGGCACAGAGTTATTTAATACATGTTCACTGTAGAAAACTGGAGGTGAAGGTGGGACATGGGGAAGAAGAAACATAAAAAATAGTCACCCTTAATTCCTTCCAGTCTTTTTTCTAGGTATACGGTTTTAGGCATACAGTTTTATTTTTTTAAACTACAGTAGCTGGGTGGGTCTACTTTTTTGATCAGGCTTCTAGACTGTAAAAACTTTCAGGAGGTACAGGATGTCGCCTTTTAAATTTAACAACCTATGTGATTTTGTCATTAAATGTTCCATCAAAATGCTAACTTTTATATTACTGCCAAATGTTTGTTCTAAGGATATATCAAAATCTCTCTTATCCACCCCTTACTGTGAGATGTAAGAACTTTTACTCTTAGAAAATTAATAATATATAAAGCTTTTTCAATTTTCTGTGGTCTGCCCCTGACCTAATGCAATGATCCCACCCCATTCCTTCCTTCTCCCCTTCTCCTTCTTCTAACAAATACTATTCCCAGTTCACCTCACTAAAATTTGGTGTATTAGTAAACTTTCTAGGAGATCCTACTGAGCACAATATAAATTCCACACAGTCAAGTAAATAGCTGTACTCGTGAAGGACGCATGCAATAGATACTCAATAATACAGTTTAGCCCTAGCTGGTTTGGCTCAGTGGATAGAGCACCGGCCTGCGGACTACAGGATCCCATGTTCCATTCTGGTCAAGGACTCATCCCCGGGCTGTGGGCCTGATCCCCAGTAGGGGGCATGCAGGAGGCAGCCGATCAATGATTCTCATCCTTGATGTTTCTCTCTCTCTCCCTCTCCCTTCCTCTCTGAAATCAATAAAAATATATTTAAAATAATAATACAGTTTAGTAAAAAAAAACCCCCACCTATTTTTAAAATTTAACTTTTATTTTTTACTAAAGTAATGTTTGCATTCTGTCTAAAATATAAAATAATTCTACGAGGCTTATAACTACTTTCCCTTTCCCGCTCCAATCCTTCAAGTGTTTCTTCCCAAATCTGCCTCCATCGTTCTGAATGGTGTACGGATACTGCTCTTTTCGGTTTTATTATCTTCTGACATCTTTCCTCTTTGAGACATCCATCCCGAAGCCCCTATTCTGCCCCAACCGGCCATGGATGCCCTCTCGGTCTACTCACGCATTCAACCCACCTCGTGAGGTCAGACGGACGCCTGTGCCCACCCCTGCCTCCCGACAGTCATACTTCCCCCAGGGACCAGGGACCAGGGACCAGGGACCAGGGACCAGGGACTGCCCCAACCCAGCCACGCCTCCCCCACACCGAAAAGGGTGCGGATTTTGCCAACAGGTAGACGATCGTCTCCCGACTCACGTCCCCAGTAGTGAAAGGCCGACTTTTTTACCCTTAGAGAAGCACAGCAAGTGCCTCTGATGCCGGCCAGCAACTAAAACCTCCGTGAGGGGTCGTTTCCGCCCAACCGCAGTGCACACAGCAGCCCTGGCCTGGACGTGGAGGCCGGGCGGAGCTGGCGCTGCAGAAAGGCCACGGCCACAGTCCCGCAGGGTGACCACGGGGTGAACTCTCCGCAAGGCGGCCCGAATCCACATACCTGGACCTGGAGGTGGAGGCCGACACCGGGCGCGCCGGCTCCGCAGCCAGCGTGCAGGGCTCAGGGTCGGGCTGCGGGCGCCCGAGGCCGTTCCCACGGAAACAGCCCCGAGCACTCACGGCGCCTGCGCCTCTTCTCGCCCCGCCCCCGACCGGGGCGGTAAGAGGCGGGGCAGCGAGGAAGAGAACCCGGAGCCGGGACGGCCGCCTCGGGAGACGCCGGAACTTTCGGGGACCCGGGCTGTGGGCAGTGGGGGGACGGCGGGACCGAACGCGCGCGCGCACCGAGGCTTCCGTCCCTCGCGAACCCCGCGGCGGCGCGCTCGGGGCGGCGTGAAGCGTAGGCAGGCTCCTCCTTCCGCGTTTCCTCCAGGCGCGCTCCTCGCCGGCGCACGCTCTCCGGCGTCCTGGCTGCCCCGGCCGCGGTCGCGGTGGTCCGAGCGGTGGCCTGGCTGCTGCTCTGGGTGGCAGCCGAGCTCGCCTGCAAGTCCTCCGCGGCCCTCGCTGCCGCCCACACCGATGCGGGTAAAGGGAGGGGCGTGGCTGCGGGTTGGAGGTTGAGGGGTGGCAGCTGCTCGGACTCTGGGGGTCCTCTCCCCTGGGCGGTTTGCGGAGGTGCTTCTCTGTATCCCGGCGCCTCGGACTGTGGGGTGAGCTGGGGGAGGCTAAGCACAAAGGCCACGTGCCTCCTCTCTCTGGGGCTCCGCCTGCCCCCCGCATGGCTCTCTGGACGTGGGGAGTCCGGCTCTGTTCTGGCCACACAGTCACTGAAATATTGTGAAGGAAGTACAGCGATGAAGCGTCTTGGGATGCATGCAGCTTCTTGCACCAACAAGGAGCCGGCAAGGCCCCTTGCCTGTGAAGTGTGAGAACCGCAGTCCTGAATACAGAGACGCCGGGGCGTGGGAAGAGGACGGCGTCGTACAAATACTTTAATAGTAGACTGGATTGCGCTGGGGTTTCTTGATGACTCCGGTTTAGGCAAGCGCGTTGGTTCATTTCTTTGGGCCCCAGTCCGTGGACTGGAGTGCTGTGCTGTGCTGTGTGTTGTGGATCCAGCCCTGAGCTAAAAACACGCTGCCCTGACCCTCGTGGAGCTTTCAGTGGGTTGGGGAAGACATTCCACTGGTGATCCTATATAATAAAAGCCCAATATGCAAATCGACTGAAGGGGCAGAAGGACCCTATGATGCACACTGACCACCAGGGGGTAGAGTAAGACACTCAACAGAGGAGCTGCCCCCAGCCCGCAGGCCCCAGGCCCGCCAAGGCAGCGGGGAGGCGGGGAATTGAACCCCAAACCTTTTGGTTGATGGGACAGTGCTTCCAACTGAGCCACCCAGCCAGGAAAATGGCAGTAATTTTGACTGCCTGTTTTGCTAAGGTTGTGAAACTCATGTGAAAGCCCCAAGTAAAGGATCTATCATATAGGTATTAGTTAATAAATGTTAGTTTTTCATACTTTCCCCTTCTGTTGTATATTTCAGATGTTTTAATCTCTATGACATGCTTTTTCATGCATCTTTTCAGGGATATATATATAATGGACCTAGCAACATAGAATACAATATGGTTTTCATGTGTTTATTTTAATGTTCTTCCTACACAGTGCCAGCTTTTGAAAATGAAATAAAATTATATAGCAAGGCACTTGGCAGAGTTGGTGATCTGATCATTAGTGATGATGCTCACATTAAGTAATAGTTTTAATGTCTGAATGTCAATGTTCTTAATTCCCATGAGTCTGTATAGTGAGATTTCTGGTTATTCTAAGTTTATAAAAGAACCTTTTGAAAAGACTCTAGCCCTGGACAGTTTGGTTCAGTGGTCAGAGCATCAGACCTTTGGACCAAAGGGTCAATTCCCAATAAAGGGCACGTACTACATCAAGGGCATGGTTGGGGCACGTGCAGGAAGCAATCAATTGATGTGTCTCTCTCATAGATGTTTATCTTTCTCTTTCTCTTTCCTCCTCCTCCCTCCCTCCTTCCTACTCTCTCTCAAAGTCAGTGGAGGCCTGACCCGTATTCTCAGTGGTTGAGCATTGACCGATGAACTAGGAGGTCACAGTTTGACAGGGCACATGCCCAGGTTGCCGGCTCGATCCCCAGTGTGGGGCGTTCAGGAGGCAGCCGATCAATGATTCTCTCTCATTGTTGATGTTTCTCTCTCTCTCTCCCTCTCCCTGCCTCTCTGAAATCAATAAAAATATATTTTAAAAATTTGTAAAAAAGTCAATAGAAAAAATATTCTTGGGTGAAGATTAAAAAAAAAGACTCGTTTTTATTTTTGTTATTTTAAACCCTTCCAACATCTCCACAAGGCAAATGTACTGTCTTCTCAGTTTTATAGGTAGCTGGACTTAAAACAGATTTTCTGCCCTTGCTGGTGTGGCTCAGTTGGTTGGAGTGTTATCCCTTACACCAAAAGATCACCTGAATAAAGTAATATTAATAACAAACACATATAGCACTATATGGTAGGACCTATTCTAACTACTTCATACTAGGTGTACCGGTTAATAAATGGTGGATTTTGTAATCAAAGAAAACATGATAATTTCAAGAGAAACATCAAAAGTGCATTATTAAAAGTAATGTCCATCACTAGCTACACATTTCCCCCACCTTCCAGGTAATTTCTGGATACCGTCCCAATAGAACTTTTCTTGTTTTGAGGCAAACCATTCAGAGACCCAATTTTCCACTTCTTCGTAAGTTTTGAAGTGCTGCTCAGAAAGTGTGTGTGCCATTGATCAGAACAAGTGGTAATCTGAAGGAGCAAGGTCTGGTGAATACGGCTGGTGGGTTAATACTTCCCAGGCAAGATCTTTTAACGTGTTTTTAACTGGTTTTGAAGTGTGTAATGGTGCGTTATCATGAAGCAACATTACTTTGCTGTGTCTTCCAGAACATTCTGGTCGTTTCATGATCAAAGTGTGGTTCAAATTGATTATTTGTTGTTGGTAGTGATCAGTATTAACGGTTTCACCTGGTTTTAGACGCTCATAATATACCACACCTTCCTGATCCCACCAAACGCCGAGCATTGTCTTCTTTCTGAAGCGATTTGGCCTTGCAGTCGATGTTGATGGTTGACCTGGATCAACCCATGATTTTGTGCATTTGGGATTCTCAAAATAAATCCACTTTTCATCGCCAGTCACAACTCAATGCAAAAAAAGACTTTCTTTCGTGCCGTTGAAACAACATTTTACTGATGACTTTTTGGTTTTCCATTTGTCTTTCATTCAGTTGATGTGAAATTTTCCTTTTCACATTTTCCTTCCTTTAAAATCTTTCCCATTGCTTGTGAATGATCAGAAATTGTTTGCTGAGCAACGTTTAATCTTTCTGCAAGTTGTTTTTGAGTTTGACACGCATCTTCATCCAACAATGCTTGTAATTGTTGATCTTCAAACTTTTTCAGTTGACCCGGACGTTCTTTGTCTTTCACATCGAAACCATCACTTTTAAAGCGTTTAAACCAGCGTTCACAAGTATCTTGAGATGGAGCATATTCACCATAAGCTTCCCAAAGCTTTCAGCAGCACTTTTCCTTCAAAATAAAGTAATGAATTGAAACTTCCCGCAAATGCTCTTTTTTTTTTGGCATGAAATTTGACATTTTTAAGCATAAAAATATCTATGATGTTAACACCTTCAGCAAATTTGACGTAAGTTTTGAAGCTTGCTGTCAATACAACGAAATAGCATACATATCAAATCGCATATATATCAACATATGTGAAACTCCATCTATTGAAAAAAATCCGCATTATTAACTGGTACACCTAGTATATTAAGTCTCATGACAACTAGCAGAGCAATAAACTATCTTATGTAAAGTCATATAGCTATTAAGTGACAGACAGGGTTTTGAAGGTAGGCAATCTAATTCCAAAGTCAATGTTCTTAATTCTCATGCTATACTAGAAGTAGATTTATATATAGCTCAACTTGCTTAAGTTTTAGAGTTTTTGTTTTCATTTTTAGGTTGGTTAGATTCTCCAGGCAAGTAAAGCCTATTAAAACAATTATTTTCTAATTATATAAGTATTCTTTCATTGAGTGCTTGTTTTATTAAAAATCAAATCTTTTGGTTCTTATAGGCATAAAGGCCAGTTGTTCTGAAATTATTTTGCGGCAAGAAATTTTGAAAGATGGTTTCCACAGGTAAGTTGCCTGTTGACTTTTACTTGTATCAAAGTACTGTTTCATATATTTTAGAGCAAAAAAATTAATAGTTGAAAAAAGGATAAAACTGAAAAAAAATCACTTGATTTCTTCCAGTCATAAGTAGCAGATTTATTATAATGTGGTTACAGTTTGAAATAATGATTAACCCATTGTACGCCATAAGCATCTGTAGACACAAGTGGCTGACCTTCCCCATACGCCACACGCATCTATTAAAAAATGTTTTCCCTAAGTGGCAAACCTGACCAACTTTAGAATCAGTTTTCTTGAGAATTTTCAGCTGAAAATATTAAAGAACACCTGAATTGTAATATATATTTTACTGATTTTTTACAGAGAGGAAGGGAGAGGGCTAGAGAGTTAGAAACATCGATAAGAGAGAAACATCGATCATCTGCCTCCTGCACACCCTCCACTGGGGATGTGCCCACAACCAAAGTACATGCCCTTGACCAGAATCGAACCTGGGACCCTTGAGTCCGCAGGCCAATGCTCTATCCACTGAGCCAAACTGGTCAGGGCTCTACTTTCTGTCTTTATGAATTTGACTATTCTATGTACTTATACAAGTGGAATTATACAGTATTTGCTTATTTCACAAAGCATGATGTCCTAAAGTTTCATTCATATTAATTTCTTGTGTAATTGTCATACTTGTTTGTTTTTTTAAAATATATTTTTATTGATTTCAGAGAGGGAGAGAGAGATAGAAACATCAATGATGGGAGAGAGTCATTGATCGGCTGCCTCCTGCATGCCCCAAACCGGGAGCCCACAACTAGGCATGTGCCCTGACAGGGAATCGAACAGTGACATCCTGGTTCATAGGTCGATGCTCAACTACTGAGCCATGCCTGCTGGGCATACTGTTTTCAGTAGTGACTGCACCATTTTACATTCCCACCAACAATGCTCAGTGGTCCAGTTTCTCTATCAATATTTGAAAACAATTAAAAAATGAGAGAAAATGTTTTCATATTCGCCCATGTATTTACCATTTGCTCTTCTGTCATTATTTTTTTACTATATGTATTTTTTTATTTCAGAGAGTAAGGGAAAGGGAGAGAGAGATAGAAACATCAATGATGAGAGCGAATCATCCATCAGCTGCTTCCTGCACATCCCCCTACTGAGGATTAAGCTCGAAACCCGGGTGTGTGCCCTGACCAGGAATCAAACTGTGATCTGTTGGTTCATGGGTTGACACTCAACCACTGAACCGCACCGGCTGAGCCTGTCTTTCTTATAGATCCAAGTTTTCTTCAATTTTTTTTTTTACCAAGCTTTCTTCTGATATTTTTTTTACTGCCTGAAGAATTTCCTTTACCATTTATTTTAGGGACAAGTTCTCTTAGTTTGTGTTTGTCTTAATCTTTATTATATACTAGAGGCCCAATGCACGAAAATTCATGCAAGAGTAGGCCTTCCTTCCCCCAGCTGCCAGCACCGGCTTCCCTCTGGCACCTGGGACCCAGGCTGGCTTCCCTCGGGCCACCCGCAGGCACCTGGGACCCAGACTGGCTTCCTTTGAGCCGCCTGGTCGCCCCACACAGCCTGCTGCTTGGTCATCGGGTCGCCCCTCATTAACCCCCCTGCCGGCCTGGTCGCCCCACGCAGCCTGTTTGGTCGTCCATTCGGTTGTCCGTTTGGTTGCGATGGTCTCTTAGGCTTTTATAGAGAGAGAGATTAGAGGCCCTGTGCACGAAATTTGTGCATGGGTAGGGTCCCTAGCGGCTGCCGGCCGCCGGCCAGGGCCTCCCTTCCCTGGCTACTGGCTGCCCGGGCCTTCCTTCGTTCTGCGCCGCTCCCTGGTGGTCAGCACACATCATAGTGAGCAATTGAACTCCCCGTCGGTTGAACTCCTGAAAGGACACTTTGCTTATTAGGCTTTTATATATAGAGCTATTTCTTCTCTTTCCCTCATAATGTTTGTGTTTTTCTTTAAATTCTTGAATATAATAGGTATATTTATAATGACTTAATGTCCTTTGCTAATTTTGTCACATCTGTCATTTCTAATCTGTTTCTATGAATGATTTTTTTCTTGGTTATTGGTCACATTTCCCTGATTCTTTGCATGTTTGTAACTTTGGATTGGATACTGAATATTGTGAATGTTGTAGATATGAACCTTTTTGAGTGTGTGGATTTTATCTTCTTTTAAAGGGTGTTGGGTTTATTTTTTCTGTTAGAGTTTTAAGTTACTTGTTTATCAACTTGATCCTTTTTACCTTTTTTTTGTGTAGGCCTAAAGTTAAAAGTGGCCATTACTGCAAGGCTAATTTAGCTACTAAGGCTTTACCCTATCGGGATTTCAACTGAAAGCTTTGGTTGGTATCCCCATTGGGATTTCTATACTTTGGTTGGTTGGAATGCAAATGTCTCCCTACCTTGTGTAAAATTTTAGAATTTCTCGTCTTTTAGTTCCCTGGTCATTCTGTGCCCATTTTGTGGAGTTACACCTCACTCATGCATACCTTAGTATTCAACAGAAACTCAAGGGAACTCCCCAATTCAGATTTCTAGAGCTCTTTCTGCATAGTTTCCTCCTCTCTGGAACTTAGTGCTGTGACTTCCAACCACTTCAGCTTTCCTAAACTTTTTTTTAAAATATATTTTTATTGATTTCAGAGAGGAAGAGAGAGGGAGAGAGAGAGAGAGAGAGAGAGAGAGAGAGAGAGAAACATCCTGCACGCCCCTACTGGGGATTGAGCCCACAACCCTGGGCATGTGCTCTTGACTGGAATTGGGCCTGGGACCCTAGAGTCCATAGGCCAACACTCTATCCACTGAGCGGGCGAGGGCAGCTTTCCTTAACTTTTATTTCTGTTTTCTCACCTAAGTGAAAATATCATGCTGTGCTTTGGGTCTCATTCACTGCACTTGGTCCAAAACGTGCCTCCAGACAGAAAGCTGGGGCAATTAACAGTTAGATTTATAGTCTATTTCAAATTAATTTTTGTATATCCAATTGTTTCAGTTCCACTTTTTGAGAAGACTATCCTTTCCTCATCAAATTATATTTGAACCTTAATTGAAAAATTGTGTATGTCTATTTTTGGACTTTATCCCTTTCTATTGATCTTTTTTTTTTTCCACACTAATACAACTATTTCCAATCTGTTTCATCTCATGGCACATATAAACTAATTACTAAAATTCTGTGGCACACCAAAATATGTATTTTTTGCCAATCTGACAAAAATAGGTATAATTTTGATTCATTCACACGGGATGGCTACTGTTGTCATTTTTTTTTACAATCTAAGGGAAAATTGGTCAGTGCCCCTAATTAAATAATCAGGTATTGCATGTTTTAAAAAATCTTGTGGCACAGCAGTGTGCCTTTTGCTGGTTGAAAATCACTGCATTAATGTAATACTACTAGAGGCCCAGTGCACGAAATTCATGCACTGGAGGGGAGTGGCGGGGGGAGGTGTTCCCTCAGCCCGGCCTGCGCCCTCTCACAGTCTGGGAGCCCTCGGGGGATGTCTGACTGCCGGCTTAGGCCCGGGGAGTGTGGGGAGCAGGCCTCAGCCGTAAGTCGGAAATCCTTAGCGCTGCCGCGGAGGCAGGAGAGGCTCCTGCCACTGCCACTGCACTTGCCAGCCATGAGCCCGGCTTCTGGCTGAGAGGCGCTCCCCCTATGGGAGCGTATTGACCACCAGGGGGCAGCTCCTGCATTGAGCATCTGCGCCTGGTGGTCAGTGCACATCATAGCAATCGGTCGTTCCACTGTTCAGTTGATTTCCATATACCCTTTTATTATATAGGATGGCTTATGACATGAATTTATGAAAAATCTAATGGGTAGTTCTGACATGAGATAAATATTTCATTTGACTTTATAGTCTCTTTATAATTTTTAAAATAGTGTTTCTACTAATTTGAATGTAATGTTATGCTATCTCATTAACAATTTAATGAAGAGATTTTCTCTGAACATACTTGTCTTACAGAGACCTTTTAATAAAAGTGAAATTTGGAGAAAGCATTGAGGACTTACAGACCTGCCGACTCTTAATTAAACAGTACATCCCAGCAGGACTTTTCGTGGATCCATATGAGTTGGCTTCATTACGAGAGAGAAACATAACAGAGGTACAACTGTTAGAGGATTTTTACACTATTAGAGCATTATTTTGAGAGAAATTTTTTAAGGGATGCTATAATTTGGATAAGGCAAAATAGTATGTAAAAAAACACTAGATACATTTGTAAAAGTATCAAGTAACATTTTTTAGATAGAATAGGAGTATTCTTTAATAAGTGAGTGATACTTGTCATACTTGTCAGTAGTAAGCCAACTAAACTGAGCTGATGAAATGCTTTTTGGCAGTATGGTTCCCAGTTTAGTGACTAAGAAAATGAACAATTAATAAATACTGTTTCAATAGCAACTTTGTTAAATTAGAGAGACATACCCAACAGCTGTATAATTTGAGTATGGGAGGAAAAGATATTAATATTTATTGGATCTCTATATGCCAGGTATTTTCTTCTTTTTTTTTTTTTTTAAAGAAGCGAGGTAAAATAAGCATTAAAGAAAGATTATGTCCCACTCCTTTACATAGATTAATCTTTTTTAAAAAATATATATTTTATTGATTTTTTACAGAGAGGAAGGGAGAGGGATAGAGAGTTAGAAACATCGATGAGAGAGAAACATCGATCAGCTGCCTCCTGCACACTCCCTACTGGGGATGTGCCTGCAACCAAGGTACATGCCCTTGACCGGAATAGAACCTGGGACCCTTGAGTCCGCAGGCCGACGCTCTATCCACTGAGCCAAACCGGTTTGGGCCATAGATTAATCTTTATAGCAACCCTGGGAGTATTATCTCTATTTTATAGTTAAGGATACTGAAGCACAAAGAGGTCAAGCTTACCCAGGGTCACATGGGCACATGAAAGAAGAGCCAAGAAATGAAGCCAAGGTTGTCTAATTGCAATTGTTGCTCTTTCCAGAAAGGAATCTTACTCCTTAGTTAAGGATTTTCCTAACTTCAGTTAGAATCACCTTAGTTAGGGTTTCCCTACCTTCATTAAGAGTCACCTGTTCAATTTAGTCATGACTCGGTTGAGTACCCTCTCATGCACCTTAGGGTTGCCAGTTTGATTCCTGGTTGGGGCACATACCCAGGTTGCGGGTTACCCTGGTCAGGGTGCATACGGGAGGCAACCAATTGATGTTTCTCTCTCTCTCCCTCTCCTTTCTCTCTCTCTAGAATCAATTTAAAAAATAAAATAGCTGTATTACACTTTTATGTTAATAATAAAGAAAAGTGTGTGTGTGTGTGTGTGTGTGTGTGTGTGTGTGTGTGTGTACGGTGATGGGGGTCTATGGGGAGGCTGTATTTTCTGCTTGTTTTTTTTCTGTAAACCTAAACCTGCTCTAAAAAATACAGTGTATTAATTTTTTTAATGTTTTTATTGATTCTGGAGAGAGGAAGGGAGAGGGAGAGATAGAAACAACAGTGATGAGAGAGAATCATCGATCAACTGCCTTCTCTACGCCCCCTACTGGGATCGAGCCCACAACTCAGGGCATGTGCCCTGACTGGGAATTGAACCATGACTTCCTGGTTCAGGGGTCGACACTCAACCACTGAGCCACTGGCTGGGCTAAAGTCTATCACTTTTTAAAAAAGAATATATCTATAGCTATATCATACTGAAAAAAGACTGCTAAAAAGCTAATGCAATTTTTGCTTAAGGAAGGAAATATTGCTATTATAGTCCTTGAGTGTTTTCCAACGGCAACTAATGTGATGAATGGCTTGGAAACCAAGTCATGAAAAACGGAGAAAACTGTGAATATTTCTTTGGGGAAGAGAAGATGTGGAGGCAGCATGATTGAGGACCTCTGATGTTTGAGGAATCTTAGTGAAATAAGGAACAGATTTATTGAAGACATTGTAAGCACAGATAATTGGTGATTGTTATAGGCCAGAGCATCCAGTTTCTTCTCATAGAAAAGGAATAACCTTTTAACAGTAGATAAAATGAGATGACTCAGTCATTGAAAGTAATCAATTAGTGGCTGGATACTTGAGAAAAATATCCTCATTGAGATGGTGGTTTAATTTGATCACCTCTGAGGTTCCTTATGACTCATAAGATTATATAATTCCTTGACCTTTGCCATAAGTTCAACAACTTGTATATATGTGTGTTCTTTAATATATCAACATGTATGCATGCATATATGGATACATAATACATATACATGTGCATATTATAATTCAGGGTTAATTTCTATCACACGTGGAGTTGTACTTTTGGTGTAGAATACTTATTTTAAAATGGTTTTTACCATATTATTTTTTTAAGGAGTACTTTACTATTTTTTCCATTACCTTTTTATACCCGGTGTAGAAAGAGTGCTGACCTTTGCTTTGACTTCCTGACCACAGTGATCTATCTCACTACCACCTTACTTGCTTCTCTGAAGAACAGGAAATTACCAGAATGATACCAATCATTTTTACTCAATACTGGGTTAACTGTTTTTTGTCATAGTTTTCATACTTATGGAACCATGCTACACTTATTCACAAAATTTCTCTTTTCTTAGTACCTGTTTTATCACCTAAACAAAGGTTGATAAGGAGAGTACATAGAAATAATTTTTATTGTGGGAAAATTTCCTCAGTTTACTTTTATTAAACACAGATCACATCTTGTGTTTTCTTAACTTGAGGATGGAAGGGGAATGGAAATTGTTTATAAGGGGGATGAATTTTAAATTTCTTTTTACCTGTATAGCAGTCTTCTGGTTTAGTTTTGTGTTTTAAATCTTCCTCATTCATTTTTTTCTCTTGGATTAATATTTGTTTTGTATTGACAGGCAGTCATGGTTTCAGAAAATTTTAATATAGAAGCTCCAAACTACTTGTCCAAGGAATCTGAAGTTCTCATTTATGCCAGACAAGATTCACAGTGCATTGATTGTTTCCAAGCTTTTTTGCCTGTGCACTACCGCTATCATCGGCCACATAGTAAAGATGGAGAAACCTTTATTGTGGTCAGTAACCCGGATTTACTGATGTATTGTGACCAAGGTAAGGGTTGCATATCTTTTCTGAGGGTTGAAAATAAAAATAAAGGTATGGTGGCAGGTCTGAAATCAAGGGATAACAAAAGCATGATTCTTTTTTCTTTCTTTTTAACTTTTTGGTTGTAAAATAGAGCATAGCTATAGAAAAACTTCACAAATATATAGTTTAGTGAGTTATTATAAGGCAGATGTCCTTTAAATTACCACGCAGGTCAAGAAATAGCACTTTGCCAGCCACTCTAGCAGCAGATCCATGTATCATGTCTCAAACATAGCTTCCTCCTATCTCCTAAGACTAAACCCACTATCCTGACATTTAATCACTTCCTTTTATTTATTTTTTTTAAAAAATATTTTTATTGATTTCAAAGAGGAAGGGATAGAGAGATAGAAGCATCAATGATGAGAGAGAATCATTGATTGGCTGCCTCCTGCAAGCCCCCTACTGGAGATTGAGCCCTGCAACCCAGGCATGTGCCCTTGTCCAGAATTGAACCCAGGACCCTTCAGTCTGCAGGCTGACGCTTTATCCTCTGAGCCAAACCAGCTAGAGCAATCACTTCCTTTTATAGATATAAATTATATGTACATATAATTTATATATAATATACACACACACACACACACACACACACACACACGTATTATTTCAGAGAGAGGAAGGGAGAGGGAGAAAGCTAGAAACATCAATGATGAGAGAGAACAATCCACTGCCTTCTGCACACCCTCTACTGGGCATTGAGCCCACAACCCCCACATGTGCCCCAACCAGGAATCGAACTGTGATCTGGTTCATGGATCAACACTCAACCACTGTGCCACACTGCTGGGCCCTTATATTTATGCTTTTATCACCCAAGTATATGGATGATATGACACACTATAGCAGTGATGGTGAACCTTTTGAGCTCGGCATGTCAGCATTTTGAAAAACCCTAACTTAACTCTGGTGCCGTGTCACATATAGAAATTTTTTGATCTTTGCAACCATAGTAAAACAAAGATTTATATTTTTGATATTTATTTTATATATTTAAATGCCATTTAACAAAGAAAAATCAACCAAAAAAATGAGTTCGCATGTCACCTCTGACACGCATGTCATAGGTTCACCATCACTGCACTATAGCTTAGTCTTGCCCATTTAACATTTTTCTCAGAGTTGGGGTTTTGGTGATAGTAATCATACAGTTCATCTGACCTCTTTATTTCTTGGAAATTAGCACCTGGCTCAGGGGTGTGATTAGATCCAGGTTTGCTTCTTTTGGCAAGTGCTGTGTTCTTTCATAAGTAGGTGTAAATGTCTGGTGTGCTTCTTTTTCAGCCATTGATCCTCATTGCCCCTTTGCTGCTTTCTGTTTATTCATGCTGACATCACAGTGCTTATTGCTGTTGGTGTTTTGTTTACACTTGCACGTATTTGGTGTGTGAGACTACTTTATCACCTAGTTTTTCTATAAATGTAGTCCTTGAGTTTTTGGTTTTGTGAGTAATTGTTCTGTTTTAATGTGTAGATTTGAGTAAATTAAAAAAATTTGCTTTTACTATTTTCAGTTTTCCTAGAATAAAGACTTTAATTTAAGAAACCCCTTTCAGATTTTTGGCTTTTGGGCCTCCACAATTGGGCTGATTCGAATGTTTGCAAAAGTTAGTAGCACTGTTGCTAAAGACTGGCATACATTTGCTGCCATCATATATTTCATGATGAAAAAATAAAAAAGCGTTCAACTCTGTTAGCTTTGTTCATCCAACCTAGGTTTCTTTTTCTATTAATGATATTGACTTACCTTAAATAAAGTTTGAAAATGTGTTCCCCCCGAGAGAGCATCTGGGGTTCTGGTGTTATCTGGGTTTTGGTCTGAAAGCTCTTTATGGGTGTGTTTACACCTGGACATTTATTGAGTTGGATGCTTAGGACCTGTTCACTGTTCTAAATATGTGTTATACCTCAAGAAAAAAGTTTAAATTCAAATACTTAAAAAAGCGGCCTCTAGTGTAATGGGATTTGTTTAAAAGTCATGCACAGTCTTTGTAATTACATAATTTCTTAGGCATTCACTTAAAACAGGCTGTTAAAATAAAACAATATGTGATAGATGGAGCCAAATCATGTACACTGTGTATTAAAATGTTTGAATACTCATATCCCAAAATGACAAATTGGCCTAGCCTCTAGTCCAGATTAAAGTTTTGTGATATGATTTTCTACCACTTTTTCTCAGAGTTTCCAATTTTGAAGTGCTGGGCTCAGTCAAAAGTGGCAGCTCCTTGTACTTTGAAGAATAAGGATATTTGCCAATGGAACAATATGAAATATAAATCAGTAAGTTAGTATTTTATATTTTTAGATTGTACTGTCGCATTTAAAATTCTTTCTATAATGTTTCTGCCACATTTAAGGGATTAGACTTTTATATTTTACCATAGAAAGCTGTTTTTTTGTAATGTCATTTCTTTGCTACAGATGACAACAGTGGTTCCTCCTTTATATAGAATCATTTAATTTGGGGGCTGGAGATTTAGTGTTAGTCCCATGCCTCATTGGTCCAGAGCTTAAGTATAGCTGATAGGTGATTTAAAGGTGTGAAATGGCCAAGAAAAACAGTGGTATATCCATCAGGTATAAACTTTATTTAGAACTTTTTATTAATTTTTGAATAAAATAAATTAGTTAACTTCATTGTATTACACAGACTAAGTGAAAAAAAAGGATAATAAAACTCAAATTAGTATTATTTCAACTGTGATAGTTTTTAGACAGTTGTCTAAGAAGTCTACAGTTTTCTTCTTATCTTCTTATGTTAACACTAGAGGCCCAGTGCACGAATTCGTGCATGTGTGGGGTCCCTCAGCCTGACTGGCGATCGAGGCCTGTGGGGGGGGCGGCCACGGAAGGTTCCTGTCGGGGTGATCAGGGCCTGCCGGCTGTGGGGAGGGACCATGGGAGGTTGGCGGGCCACGGGAGGTTCCTGTTGGGGTGATTGGGGCCCGCTGGCTGTGGAGAGGGACCATGGGAGGTTGGTGGGCCACGGGAGGTTGGAAGTGGGAGTGTGCTGACCACCAGGGGGCAGCTCCTGCATTGAGCGTCTGCCCCCTGGTGGTCAGTGCACATCATAGCGACTGGTCGACTGGTCGTTCCAGTTGTTCAGTCATAATGGTCATTTAGGCTTTTATATATACTTCTTTCCTCTCTTCAGAGTGGATAAGTTTTTTTCCATTGATTTTTAAAGAAAGTGAGAGGCAGGAGGAGGGGAGAGAGAGAGAAAGAAACATCTATGTGAGAGAGACACATCAACTGGTTGCCTTCCACACACACCCCTAGGGGAGCCAGGGATCAAACCTGCAACTGAGGTATATGTCCTTGACCTGGAATCAAACCCATGGGTTGATGCTCTAACCACTGAACAAACCAGCCCCTCTCCTCTTCTTGGAGGTCTGGGGTGGGACTGAAACTTCCAACTCTCTTATCACATGGTTAGCTCCATTGGCAACCAGTCCTCATCCTTAGGTGCTTTCCAAAAGCTACTTCACCAACATAAAAGACACCATGCTTACTCTTAACACTTAGGAAATTCCAACAGTTTGGGGAGCTTTGAGCCAGAAAGGGAATGAAAATCAAATACGTATGTCTTATATAAAACACAATATCACACATATGTTACCATAATTTTTTTCAAACTCTAAAATACATCTGGAGAATTACATTTAAATCACATACCCTTTATTATGGCCAACTGGTAAACGTAAATGTTTCCCTGCGTTCTGTGGGCTGTTACAGCAAATTACTAAAACTGAGGAGGGGTCTTGGAAACCTTTTTTTTTTTTTCGCTAAAAGTATTACAAAGGGTATTACATAAGTGTCCTTTTTTCCCCCCCACCCTTGACAAGCCCCTGTACCATAATTTTTTTCAAACTCTAAAATACATCTGGAGAATTACATTTAAGAGTATGTGAGTGAAGAGTATGATTAGTGTTTGTTTATGATTTATTGATTTAAAAATTGGTAGTGTGCATTGCTATGAAATAAGTAATTACCCTGTTAAAATATTTTGAATTCAATTCTCTTTAAGACCATGTAACTTGAAATAAGAAGTCATACTTAAGCTATTTGATTTTTTTTTCTTTACTTTGAGTTATAGGTGGCCATTACTAAGGTGGTGATCTATATTAAGGCTTGTTTGCTTAAGATGCCATTTTTTAAGATTATAATTTTCAAATAGGACTTTGTTACAGATTGTGGTGATAAAATAATCTTTTTTGGATGTGAAATTATAATCTAGGTATTTATAAAAAGAAGGCAAAAATAAAAATATTCCCAAATATTAATGTCTTTAAAAACTTATTTTTAAACCATAAAATTTCCCAAAGTTTCTAATTGAACCTTTTATCTTCAAAACCAAATAGAAAATATAAACTGAAAATATAAGTTGAATCTACAACTCCTTTTACATGGGACAACACTCAACCAACTGAACCACACCGGCTTGGCTGGCCTGGGTTTTTAAAAAGGATATACTCAATTCTATGTAAAGTATAGAAAAAGTCAAAACTAATGAGAATTTAAGAATTATTGTGGGAATTGAGTCTGATTTATTTACATTAAATGTTCAATCCAAAAGAATCATTCAAACAATAATGTTACATGTAGTGTAGAATTGGCTGAAGAATATTTAAAAGCCAAAAAATAAAAATAAAGAGATAGTGGTCTTACTTAGAACATCCATTTTAAATGTCTCTAACTTCTCTCTCCACAGGTGTATAAGAATGTGACTCTACAGGTTCCAGTGGGACTGACTATACATACCACTTTAGTATGTTCTGTAACTCTACTTATTACCATCCTGTGTTCTACTTTGATTCTTGTGGCTGTTTTCAAATATGGCCATTTCCCCCTATAAGTTTTCTGCAATTAAATGCTTTCCATAAACCTAAATAAGACCTAATCGTTTGTGATTAGAAGCATTCTTTTAGAATTGTCATTATTTTGTCTTTTGTCTTCATTTTTGGCTAAAATTATGTTTACTGGAGGAAATTTTGGATCATTCTCAACTAATTCCAGAATTGAGTGCTCTGTTGTGTAGACCTTTGATAATCTTCAAGCATCTAGTGCTAGTACAGGAAACTTAATTCTGTCACATTACTATTTATTTTGTGAGAAGTGATTTTTATCCTCATTTGGGTTACAAAAGTGAGTACTTTATGTATTAGAGACAAATTGTTCTCATTTTGTGAATAGAAACATTACAATTTAAGCTAAAAATTGAGAAAATCATTATAAATAAGAATAAAATAATTTAATGAATGAGTTTATTTAAATCTTAATTTTATGAGAATATTGAAGTCATCCAGAGTTTCAAAGAAAATATTAAAATAAAACAACTAAGAAAATATTAATATTAATTATTCCTTAAAACATTTCCATTCTCCTTTTATAAGTTATATTGCTTTAAAAAATATTTATATATAGCCCTAACCGGTTTGGCTCAGTGGATAGAGCGTCGGCCTGTGGACTGAAAGGTTCCAGGTTCAATTCCGGTCAAGGGCATGTGCCTTGGTTGCAGACATATCCCCAGTAGGGGGTGTGCAGGAGGCAGCTGATTGATGTTTCTCTCTCATCGATGTTTCTAACTCTCTATCCCTCTCTCTTTCTCTCTGTAAAAATTCAATAAAATATATTTAAAAATATCTATATCTATATATATATATATATGTTTTTATTGATTTCAGAGAGAGGAAAGAAGAAGGAGAGAGAGATAGAAACATCAGTGTTGAGAGAATCATCGATTGGCTGCTTCCTGCATGCCTCCTACTGGGGATTGAGCCTGCAATCCCATGACTTTCTGGTTCATGGGTCGACGCTCAACCACTGGGCAACACCAGCCAGGCTATATTGCTTTTTAATATATGAATTGTCAAAGGACTTGATGAAACTAAGTACTAAGATTTAGTTCTGATTTAATACTGAATTTGTCAGGAAGACAGTTCAGAAAGAGTATATTTTATTAAGTTACACATTTGCAAAAATATTTTTGTATCTTCAAGTGATTTTTTAAAAAAAATAAGAGGTCTTGATTTAGAACCAAAAGGCTATATTAATAAATACAACTGTGCTAAAAAGAAGAAAGTCATACAGTATATTGTTTGTTAATAGTCTCAGCCTTCTGTACATACATATGTTACATTTCTACATTTTGAATACACCTCACATCAACTTCTGCATTAAGTTTGTGACAAATTTGTGCTGTTCTTAGTGTATGCAAGACACTTGACTTTACTGTTTCATTCTTGTATGTAAAAAGTACAATATGAACTTATATATAATCTTTACTATGTTAGATTTATAAACTGTTTTAAAAAGAAACCAACTTCATCCTTTTGCCAAAGTGGTGGAGAATGTAATTGATAAATCATAAATCTGTAGTGAATAATCGTGTGAGTTAAAGCTTTCACCAGCCCTAGCCGGTATGCTCAGTGGATAGAACATTGGCCCGGGGACTGAAGGGTCCCCGGCATGTACCTCAGTTGCAAGCTCCATCCCTGAGGGAGGCAACCAATCGATGTGTCTCTCTCACATTGATGTTTCTCTCTCTGTCTCTCCCCTTCCCACTCTCTCTAAAAATCAATGAAAAAATATCCTCAGGTGAGGATTAACAAAAAATAAAAAAATAAAGCTTTATACTAGTATTTTCTTTTGAGACATTAATTTAGTAATTTTATATTGGAGGTAATAAGGGTTTTCGATTTTATTTAACTAGAATCTCTGCCCTCCTGTAATTAAACATACTGTACCACATCTGTATTAAAATTAACATTGCTGATTTTTTTTGAAAAGTCTTGATTTATTGTTTTACTTTGGAAAAAAAATTAGAAAATAAAGTAAGTGCCATAAGCTAATTAAAAAATAAAAGGGCGAGCATGCCCTTCCATTTATTTAGGGCAATTTTTTTAGAGCAAGCATGTTCCAAAACCAAAGCCACTAAAACCATGTTATGTTGGCATTGTTTGTTTTAAATAGATTAAAGGGATATGATATACAGTTTATATGCTATAACGGATTTCCTAAAACATTCTGTTTGTTTGTTTGTTTGTTTGTTTGTTTTTTGTTAATCCTCACCTGAGGACATTTTTTTGATTTTTTAGAGAGAGGAGGAGAGACAGAGAGAGAAACATCTGTGTGAGAGAGACACATTGATTGGTTGCCTCCCACACTCACCCCTTCTAGGGCTGGGGGGACCTGCAACCAAGGTACGTGCCCTTGACAGGAATAGAACCTGTGACCCTTTGGTCTGAGGGTCGACATTCTAACCACTGAGCAAACCGGCCAGGGCAATAGCTTGGTGTTTTTATGGGAATAAATCTTTTATAATTTGACATGTATGGCTCGACCAGTCATAACATTTCTTTTTGAAGATGTGTTTGAGAATTTAAATATTGAAAAAAGCAATCCAGTGCCATAAGGCAGAAATATTAGAAATCTTTAAAATGACTAAAATTTCCACCCTGTCTGAATTGTGGCTTAGAACATGTTTTAGCCATTTACTCATTTATATAGCTATTCAAAAGTATTAAAAAATGTATGTCAGTGAAAAACACTTGGATATGACCATTCTTGCCTAATAAGTGGTTGCAGGCGACATTACTTTAAAATATATATATATGTTTTTATTAGAGGACAGATACACAATATTCATGCAAGTGGCTCGGCCCTTGCACCCCAGCTTCTTCCAGAACATCGTTCGGCTGTCTGGTCCAATTAGCATATTATGCTTTTATTATTATAGATTGATTTCAGAGAGACAAAGGGAGAAGGATAGAGGGATAGAAACATCAATGATGAGAATCACTGATCGGCTGCCTCCTGCATACCACCTACTGAGGATCAAGCCCAAAACCCAGGCATGTGCCCTCACTGGGACTCAAACTGACCTCTTGGTTCATGGGTCGACACACAACCACTGAGCCAAACAGGCTGGGCCAGATGACATTACTTTTGATAGAACATTTCTGGTTTTGAACTCTGTATATTCTGTGGATATTTTAAAAATGAATAAGCACTTTATTTTTAAAAATCAGTTTTGTAATTATGTATATCATCTTTTTTTTTTTAAGGACAAGAAAATGGGTACTATTCTCTTGATTATTATGATCCAGTATTTGTTTTACTTTTGCGGTTTATTTTTCTTAAAGTATTATGTTCTTTTGGGTGAAAATAACAGAGAGGAAACCTCAACTACTAGTAAGGGGGTAACAGAGATTTGTGTGTGTGTGTGTGTGTGTGTGTGTGTGTGTGTGTGTGTGTGTTTCTCAGCCACTCTATCGGAATTGAGATATTTTAGCTATTTCTCATGGAGGATGGTATATACATGGCTTGGGAACTGGAAAGATCTATTGTAGCTCTAATTATTTCAGAATATAATGAGTTTAAGGATTATTCTAGTCAGATATTCTATTCATTTCAAGCTATTTACCTGTATTTTGATAATTGATTCTGGTTTATATGGTATGGAGATAAAGAAATTAGAGTGAGGTGACGAACACCTATCTGTATTATTCCCCATACTCACAAAATATGCTATTGTCAGGTTATTGAATGTAAGAGGGTTTTGGTAGGCTGAGAGACAATGAAATAATATGGACTAAGTATGCCCTTCAGCATTGTCCTAATCAGTGATAGGATCATAGGTTTAGTTATCTACCTGATTTTTGTATTTCAGACCTTACTTCTGGAATCAGTTTCTTCCTGAAGTATATGTGTTTTGTTTTTGTTTTTTTAAATACATTTTATTGATTTTTTACAGAGAGGAAGGGAGAGGAATAGAGAGTTAGAAACATCGATGAGAGAGAAACATCGATCAGCTGCCTCCTACATACCCCCTACTGGGGATGTGCCCGCAACCAAGGCACATGCCCTTGACCGGAATCGAACCTGGGACCTTTCAGTCTGCAGGCCGACGCTCTATCCACTGAGCCAAACCAGTCAGGGCCTGAAGTATATGTTTTTAAGGAGTTCCTTTTTTCCCCTTTTTTATTGAATTTATTGGGGTGACATTGGTTTCAGGTGTACAGTTCTATAATACATCATATGTATTGTGTGTTCACCACCCCAAGTCAAGTCTCCTTCCATCACCATTTATCTCCTATACCCTCTTCTACCTCCCCCACCCCCTTTTCCCTCTGGTAGTCAAGGAGTTCCTTTAGTACAGTGGTTCTCAACCTGTGGGTCGCGACCCCTTTGGCAGTCGAATGACCTTTTCACCGGGGTCGCCTAAGACCATCCTGCATATCAGATATTTACATTACAATTCATAACAGTAGCAACATTACAGTTATGAAGTAGCAACGAAAATAATTTTATGGTTGGGTCACAACATGAGGAACTGTATTTAAAGGGCCAGAAGGTTGAGAACCACTGCTTTAGTAGGTCTCTGTTTTGTAATATATCTTTTTTTGTTTGATGATATCTTTATTTTCCCTTTGCTTATATGACTGATAATTTAGCTGGGTATACACTTCTAAATTTGGTTATTTTCTCTTGGCACTTTGAAAATATTTTTTCATTGTCAACTGGCAACCCATTGTTATAGTTGTTTCTTTACAGGGCATGTCTTTTCTTTCTGGTTGTTTTTCCTTTGATATTTTGCAGTTTCACTTTGATATGTTTTGAGAAGATTTATTTTACTTATCCTGATAAGTAAAAGAGAAGAAGGAAGAGAGAAACATCGATTTGTTGTTCTACTTATTCATGCATTCATCCTTGTATGTACTCTGACCGGGGATTGAATCCCCAACTGAGTACCTGGCCAGGGCCAATAATAGGATTGTTTTTAAGGTTATCTAATAGTAAATAGCCATATTGCTTTTTAATTCCTTTCTCGTACTCTCCATATCAATAGAGGTTTTTTTTCTCTATAGATAAGCACAATCTGGCTAGCTTTCTCCATTTCTACTGTTATTTTTTC